TAATATCATTAGGCCTTTGTAATCACCGCACGACGCGCGACTAACATGTCAACTAACACGCGCGTGGGTAAATCGTCACGTACGCTGACGGTTTATGGTCTGGTTGCTATGGTTTTTGTGACGTTCAGCATGTAGGGACGCACGTGCGCCTAGAATGTCGATGCCAGAGTTATAACCTTTGATGTCCCGAGATGTGCGTCCTTTTGTTGAATTACCTTGCTCCAAGTACCAGGGTCCTGGGTTGAATTCCTGTGACAGCAGGACTTTTCTTCACACTGATAAAAGCATCACATTATTTTCATCTATTTAAGAGGGCCCCTGGAATAACCTCCCAATAGACCCTATCAATTACACTAGCCTCTCATCTTTTAAAAGAAATTTAGAATTAAGTTATTTAAGTTAACTAAATTCAGTTCATTTCCATCACTTTGTTTTTTAGACAATTTATTATTTTCTTTTTCATACACTCATATATTTTTAGAATTATTATTATTTATTTATGAATCCTTTCGAGACAAGGTCTTCCTTCTAGATAGGGATTTTTACAACAGTTCGCCTAGTTACACAATTATGTTGTCTTTACATTTATATTATCATATATTCAATATTAATACTAATCTGTTGTGTACTGAGCTGTTGTTAATTAAAGGTGTTATGTACCAACTGAACTGAAAATATCAACCTTCTCAGATACGCTGGAAGGGTGACCCTCTATAAATATGGCTTTAGAAATCATACAGATGGACAAATATATAGGTACACATAAAATGATGTAGGCAGAAAGAGAAACACACCAAAACATGCACATCCTGCAAACCTACACATAATCAAATATTTACCTTGAAAACTGTCCATGGGCTAAGACAAGACCTTCTAACCTAATAGGAAACTTAACGTCACAGCTTCCAACCATGTTTTGTATACGAAACTCTATAAACTTTGCCTTGAAAAAAGAAAACACAAATCATACATATAATCAGAAATTTTGTTCACATATGAAAAAGAAATGAATAAAAGAGAAAAAAATCTCCTGCACTGCAGCTGCTACAAGTCCCCATCCCACAGCTGCCGCAGGTCCCCCAGCTTATTCACTGCAGTTGCTGTAGGTCCCCAGCTTATTCACTGCAGCTGCTGCAGGTCTCCCAGGTCCTGCACTGCAGCTGCTACAAGTCCCCCAGCTTATTCACTGCAACTACTGCAGGTCCCGCAGTTTTGCAGACTTTTGCCAGCTCCTGTACTGCAGCTGCTGCAGGTCCCATAGTTCCTGCACTGCAGCTGATACAGGTCTCAAAGTTCCTGCGCTATAGCTGCTACAGATCCCCCAGCTCATTCACTGCAGCTGCTGCACGTCCCCAGCTCCTGCACTGCTGGGCTTCCTCACCTCAAAAATGAGTTACTTTAACAGTAACCATATTAATGTATATATACTGACATAAATTTCTTACTGGGAACCCAAGTTTCTGGATAACACGAGCATATTTCCTTGCTGCTAATCTGGAGAGGTCTTCACTTTTGGCCCCGGTACAAACCATTTTTCCAGAACTGAAGATCAATGCTGTGGTTCTTGGATCCCTGATACGCATGATGACTGCTGCAAATCGCTGTAATACATAACATACTAAAAATGTTAGGCTACTTCCCTTCCCAATGAAGTTTCTCTATATTCTTATATGAAAAGAATATAAGAACAGAGCAACATCAGCTAAGACAGCATTAAACCTATCTAGATGGCAAACAGGGGTTTAGCCAGAAAAACGAAATAGGCTGTCCAATAATGTTATAGTTTAATGCAACATTTGATAGATTTGAAAATATAAAGAATTTGCTAAAGGTAGACCAGGCACAACTGGCTAGGCTGAGCTATGTAGGCCAAGCCGTCCAAGCAGACACGGTAGAAGTGGCCATACTAAATAATTGTTGGCCATCCAACAAACGGCCAGATGGCTCGCTGGCCAAGCCCTTGATGGCAAAGCCTACAAAGGTAATTCACATCTGTTGTGTGTAGAGCTACTTATGTGTATAAGCACACATATATTTCAGGTACAAATATATGATTTTGTATTAATTGCATTGAATTTAAGTACAGTATTTATTTTTTTTTAAATAAATTTTCTATATCTGAAATGTCAAAAGCATTCATCTTTTGATTTTTGGGAGCGCAGATGAAAAATTTTTTTTAACAGGATTTGAATCAAGGAACCTGGGATCCAAATGCAATCACCTTAAACCACCAAACTGCATTACAATTTAACATTCAGAATACAAGGTGGCTTTGTTTGAGTTTAGTTTAGTTCAGTGATACTAGCATTTATGTACAGTATTATTTAATAATTTCAAATTTGTATTTTGTAATTTGTTCACACATCCAACAGTGTAAATACCAATTACTGGATGAACATAAATATATAAGAATGATAAAAAATAAAAAGCAGAACATTACACAAATGCTTACTTGTAGAAAACAAAAATTCTTACTTTTGGATTATATTCGGCATTTCTCGCATGTAAGGCAATTTTCTTTAGGTCTAATTTACAACCTAAATTTACAGTTGATACAATATTTCTGAAAGAAAACCAACAATGTTATTGCTCAATGTCAGTACTACCAAAGGGGGGGGGGCAACCTTTCATTTCGAGACCCCTTTAATTTTAAGGTTCCTCTAATTTGAGACCATCTTTTCAAAATACTGTACCAACTAACAATCTTCTATATTTTAACACAAAGTTAACTCTCTCTAAACGGAGACCGAACTCTGAGACTACTCCAAAATATCACGTCTCAAATGTTGGTCTCAGTTTAGAGGGTAAACTGTATCTTTATCTTAGATACCTTATAACAAGCTGTGATTGGGGGGGGGGGGGAGAATGTGCACTGACAATTCTACAACAGTATCAGATGACTGTGGAGACAATCAATCATAATTATCACTCCTGGATATTTCTATGGGAAAAATGTATTATCAGCAGAATGAACAGGGCAATAGCCAGGTTCAGAAACTCACTGTAATTGTGGGAGAATACCAGTGTATTCACTAGCCGGAGTTGCTGGGTTCAGCGGAGTCATTGGGGAACTCCCTGGGGTTCCAGGATGTTGCCAAGAGAATGGAACAGATGGCGTGGACATGACAGCATTGTGGGAGCCGACCGCAGGGGATGCACCAATCTGAGGTGATTGTCGACTGCTACTGCCATGTCGATGCTGCTCATCCTCGGACTGCTGCTGTTCAATAACCTGTAAGTAGATGAAGTAGTAATTTAGATTGGCAAGTTTTGTTTTTTTTATCAATTGAGATGCTGATGCAGTTTTCAGCTAATGAACCTTTAAATATAAAACAAAATCTGTTAGCTTAGGCTTACTTTGTTTATTTTTAAAAGTTAAGTTTAGCTGTGGTCTACTCTATGCCCTATTATTAACCATATATAGCCCCTACAGGCTTCTAGAATGTTATTTCTGTGGGAAAAGCTAGCCTAGGCCTCACAAACAAGCCTGTGGGCCTAGGCTAGGCCTACCTAGGCCCTAGCTAAATTTAATTTAATTAAAGTATTAACATCGAATTTGTAACTTGTTAATTACAATTTCACCAAAGTCATCAAATAACTTATACAAAATCATCATTTCATTAATTATATAATACGTACTCGAGGAGGACGTTGGATGGGAGGCTGCATCAGCATGGCAGAAGGTGTCATCGGTGCATGGTATATGGCAGGGCCACCAGAGCTTCCAGGAGTTGCAAGGCCTGGCGATGAAAGACTGGAAACTGCCTGGTTTGAATTCATTTCGAAATACACAAACACTGCTTTTTCGATATTCTATGCTATGGTGACACCAATTAATAGGCTATCTGAGATAATTGATTACAAATTACACTGTAAATAATCATTTAGAATATCCGAAACGAAACATCTTTGTCAGTTTGTGCAATTTCTATTTCTTTTCATGTCAAATCACGGTCACTTCCCTTGAAAACGCCACCAACGGCTCTATTTTTGCATGAACCATAGAGATAATAGCTCTATGCTCTATTCAATGGCATGAACCAGTGTGACCACTGCTTGGGTATTTACCCAAGATCTTGGGTATTTTGACTTGGTCTTGGGTTCTTGGGTATTCCGTTCAAATCCTTGGGTATTTTATTTTTACTAAGAAAATTTAATATTTTTGTCATAGAGGAAGAATTAAGAAGTAACAAAGTATATTTCAGTCCATTCAAGTAAGCAAAACTCAATGAACTGCACATAACATTGTTAATTGCTGTAAATATGGGTTCAGAATTGTTTTTTGTGATTTGCGTTGCCATTGATCTTACCTAATTAATGCATTACATACTAAAACTTGATCACTGATCTACTGATAACACTGGCCGACTGAGGGCGATTTTTCTATCCGTATTATCACCTCATGTATATTAATTTTAATAATTAACACAAACAATTACAATAAAAAATGGTTTATAAATTTATAAACTAAAAGGGAAACTATGAATGCGAAAAACACGGGTTTTTTTTCAAATTTTAATGCATTTTCAGGAAGCTTGGGTAATTTTGGGCAATTTTTGCTGAATCTTGGGTAATTTCGACCCAGTCATTGGGTATATCAAAAATTGTGAGTGGTCACACTGGCATGAACCGCCAAAAACATTGCAGGTCGAGATCCATGACTAAATGGAAAAAAAAGGATTAGCCTTTTATTTATCTCAGTGATTAATCTCTTAGGTTTTCACACCTAAACATAAGAAATCCTTGACTGATGCACATTTATTTTATAATGTTATGCCATAAATTATATAGTGGGCTACGAATAATGTTGTATTTCATGATTTTGAACATCTTCACGCTTTTCCCGTTAATTGGCCAAGTAGGCCTACTTACGAAGATATGATATTAATCATTGTTTTTGGTAAGGTATTGGTCAGCTATTCAATATAATACCCTACACCTCTCTGGTGATAACCATTCAAGCAAGGCCTTACTTATCAGCCAGAGCAGAGAAACGTCGTAGAACTGAATAGAAATAAATGCGTTCATGTACTGTAGTAGTACGAGGTTTTGGGGCGATAGAGAACACACTCCTTACGAGCAAGCGTTGAATCCTTTCATATTATTGATAGGGCCTATGCTGTATAGGCCCTTGAATTGAAAAATTTAATTTGCTTTGTTTTATATATAATAAGACAGAATTTAGCACTTTTGATCAGTTTCATTAAGCATTAACTGAGAACC